CACACACACACACACACACACACACACACACACCCAGTAGGATCTTATTGAGAAATAAAATTTTGAATATTGGTTGCATGCTGTCCTCTTTCACGGAACAAGTTTTAAAAAGAGAAAAGGTCAGATTAAATTATAAAGTTTATTACAACATTGTTGCCTCAATACGCGGTGGAAATCATAAAATCAGGGAAGAATCTCACTTCACGGATGAAAAGATTAAATGAAGTGAAAACTTTCTTCCTTATTAAGTCTTTTAAATTTTCTAGAATGATAATTCTCACTAATTACATTAAAGAATTTTTAGAATCTTTTTTCGAAAACCACTAAATTGTAGTAGAACCATCACGAAATTATCATAATACATGTATTGCATGAAACAAAGATTGGAATTCCTGAAAAAGACTCACGGTGCTAGTCGTGAAGCACTGCGTTTAATACAATCATGACAGATGATTCCATAAAAAAAAACAAATCTGTAGCTGTAGCACTAAGTTTCGATAGGATATATCAAAAATAAAGTTCAAATAAAGTTTTAAGCAGCATTTTAAGAATTATGCAAAAAACGAGTGAAAGAATTATAGGCAGTTTCGAGATCAAAAATCATTTGTCTCGCATCTTCATCCGTTATTTCCTCACTCGCGCTCATACTTTTCAGTTTATCGTGCCTGGAAATAGTGAGCTACCGTTGCAAAACATTTTTCAACATTCCATAACCTGATAAATATCTTCCGGGTTACTGATAATTCAGCGCTTCGTAATTCCTTAAGCTTCACCAAGAACGATTAAGCAATGATATATCTCAGCTAAAACTATTTACAGTTTGTTCACACTCAAAATCTGTGAAATAACGTCAGAGTCCACTATGAATGTTTGACGTTATTTCAGAGACTTCTGTTCCGTCTGTTTGAAGATCGAATGCTCAAATTAAAATTTATGATCCTAGACATGCTCCAGAAAATTAAAAAAATTCGTGTAGCATTAAGTAACTAAATTTTAGATGCATGCCACTGGTCATTGGCAAGAAGTACTTTAGAGAGTTTTGCTGCTGAAAGTCAAGCAAAGACCTGCAAAGGATGAAAATTTTTTGGCAAAAATGTTTGTCAACAATAATGATTCCTCACCATTGTATCACCTTAAGTTTTGCATCAAAGTTATCCGGTAATGTAATCATTGAACTGATAGAGACGTTCAATTCATTCAATGTCGGAAATAGCTCATCAACAGCTCGAACGTTCAATTTCAGCTGATCCAAAAATGTGATGAACATTTCCACAATTTCTGCAATGCATTTCAATGTGTTCCCTTTATCATCTTTTACAGTGATTGGTCGATCTTCACGGATTCTTTCCAACGCTGCAGGACATTCCACACGGTATTTCTTCACGAATTCATCGATATCGCATTGTACCAAACGCAAAGCTACCTTTACATTGAAATTTTATTGAAATATAAAATATGAATTTATAATGCATCTTCCTGTTACATCCAACGTTGTACATATAATCTATGTAAAACCTACACGTATATTAGAACTTATCTATTTACATCTTAATGAAATGAACTATAGAGTGAAATTGCATAGCTAAACTTATATCTATATCACTTAGCAGCTGATATAAGAATCTCAAGTGAAAAACTGGAACAAACTGATTTAAATTAACATAAAAACAAGAGATATAGTATGCATCGAACCGAGATATGATAAAACGTTCTGTATAATGAAAGACAATGAAGAATGTATAAAATATGAAATATAATTCCCGTCAGAACTGTAACCAAATGAATATAATTCGATCAAATTCTTAAAATTTAATTCTAATGTTCAAATATCTGCAGCATAGTTTAGAAAATAAAATTTCTTCCTTCAAATCAATATTTGAAAGAAACTCAAAATTTTCAAATTTCAGATAATATCTTAAATTTTCCACACTTAACTAACCTTGTATTGCACCAAAAGCTTCGAACATTCCGCAGTATATTCCTTGGCTGGAATACAATCACGACTAAAGACCTTTTCTAAGCACTCCAAGGCATTTAAGACAGCGTATAATTCGCTCATATTATCTACCCGTTCACGTTCCATACTATTTTCGTATAAACGAACTTCCTGAAGTAAATCTGGATTCACGTCACCGCCAACGGTACTACTGCCACTACTGCTAACACCCAACATCTTCGCCACCTTAAAATAATGAGACATTATTAAAGATACATGCCGTTTATTCTGAAATGTGAACGCTTCTGGAAAGTTCAAAAATTCTCTCGAAAAAGCTTTGTTTACTTTAACGTAACATACGCTTCTGAACAATTCTTATTAAAAACTTCGAAGTGAGCTTTTCAAATTTCCAAAATAAATATGTCTAAAATTTCTGAGTTTTCAAAAATTCGTGGTGAACGGAAAATGCAAAATAAACAAGAAAGTATCACAAATAAACAGTAAAATAAACGAGAAAATAGCACAGATGAAAGCATTCAAACATAAATAAAGCAAATGGATGAGAATGAATGGCGAACCGAGAAGATCCCAAACTACACAAAGGAAAGCTTGAGACATCTCAGTTTCATACTGGCCATGTTTTCGCTTCGAATTCTAAGCCCGCTGTTTTTTTTTTTTGCAGAGAGCAGAGCATCCCACGGATTGGCTTGAGGATTTCTCGGGAAGAGAGTGCTTGAATTGGGAGTAATGCTACCGAGCATGAGGGATTTATTTTCGATGGTGGAAGGAAGTAGAAAATAGCGTGGGTTCCTGATGTTAGCGTAGGAAGATTCACATGACTACGCGAGAAATGTCTGCTGCAGTCGTTCAATTCTTTGGAAATAAATTTTGTAATGTTACACATAATCTGTGGATACTGTTGTTTGCATAGATTTTCTCAATAGTCGTGTGAATCTTTCTAAGCTAACATTAGAAATTTACGTTATTTACTGGCAGTCTTCCTCATATATGTTTTGTATAGATTGACGTAGTAAGGTTTCATGCAGTCACGTGAATCTAGTGCCACTGACGTTAAGAGAAACGTCATATATTATCTTTTGCTGCATTCATGCGAAGGATTGAATTTATATAAATTGCAAGTATTTGTGTTGTGCTGAAATATTTTTTTGTTTATCTTTTTGGCGTGTGATTTCTTTCGCTTCAACTGACAATTTTAGCCGATGTCAACCATTTGGTTTCAGTTTCCTTATGGGTCTTAAGTGACTTGCATGTATTGATTTCTGACTTTCAAGATGAAGTTTTTATAAATATCCTTAATGAATTTGCTATGATTTATTAGTTGCATATTTATTCAGTCACTGCGTAACTATTTGTAATGATATTTCATCTGTCTAGTAAATGATTACTCACAGTTACATTAAATATTCCATTGCGTTTTCAAGTCGGTTTTCAAGTAATTGAGTTTTTTTGACAGGTAATGTCTCTTGTACGCAATTCGATTATTGTGCAGTCCAAATCGACACCATATGTTGTACGCCATGCAATTCTTTTATGTGCCAAGCATCACAATGAATATTGCTGGCAAAAGCAACGAATTGGTCAACGAGAAATTGTAGGGCCATCAAGCGGTGGTTATGTAAGTTTCTAAATCCTGGGTATTAAATTTAAATTACTTGTCTTTCTAAGTTTTCTGATCAAATCATTCGAGAATTTTAGTATTGGCATTTTTATTTAATCATATTCGATTTAATTTTTAAAATTATATCATCTTCATTCTTTATTTTGAAGGACCCTATAAGGGTTGAAAAATAGACGATTAATTTCATTTATTATTCAGCTTTTCAATTTGTTCATGTTATTTCCGTTTTCTTATGATTCATTCAGTTGAAGACTAAATATTGATTTTTATCATCTCATTTTTTTCGTAGTTTTTTTCAGCATTTTATTGACTCAACAGATCGTCCGTATCCACCGTTGAGATTTCGAGCGGATGATGAAATCATTAAACCGATTCGTGAGAAAGAAAAAGGTGACTGGCACAAATTAACAATGGAAGAAAAGAAATTGTTGTATAGATATTCATTCCAGCGAACACAAGCCGAACTGTTGGGATGGAATGTCTACTGGAAAATGTATTGGGCCTATATATTTATTTGGATTTCAATTGCTCTCGGAGTAGTCGGTGTACTCAAACATTTCAGTATGTTTTCTAATAATTTTATATAATTAAAGATTCATTTATTGCAGGTCTTTCAAGGTCAGGACTAAAAGCTGGAAAATTAAGTTATACTAAATTTTTAACCACAAATATTTAATGCACCGGATTATTTAATAATAATAGTTGTGTCCTTCTTATCATGTTACATCTGTTTGGTTCAAATTTGTATGAAAAACTCCATGAATTAAAACATTAACTTATCTTTGTTTAAGGAGTTTAATTTCAAATTCGAGTACTGTGTTTCCTGTAATCAGAGTTTATTTTTCACTTGACTTAACAATCGATTGTAACTTTTCTACTTATCCATGTTTTTTTGAATCATCTTTTCAGGTTATCCTCCTCAGGTACCCACATTGAGTGATGACTGGAAGCATGCAGCAATGCGAAGAATACTGGTATTGGAGAAACCGTTCCCTGAAGGAGCAGCAACGTTGTACGACTTCGAAAAGGATCGTTGGAAGGATTGATCGATAGGGAGGCTACAGAAATTTTATTAGTGTTTTTGAGTATACGATACCAATTTTGGGTTTTCGATTAATGTTCGTAAAGCAGTAGTGTTTGTTCTTATTAGTGCATCTCTTTCTTTATTTGCACGCAAATCCGACAATTGATTATGTGTATGCTGGTTTTGATAGATTTTTATACTTGTGCCGTATAGAAGGAATAAAATTCGCATTATCAGTAAAGGCATTTCAGACTTTTTATGTTTAAACAAATAACTGTAGTGTATCTTTGATCATAATATCGAGATTTGGCTTCAGTCAAAACAAAATTTGCAAAATCACTGCTGTTTGAATATTCTGTATTTTTCATTACGAGAGGTTAGAACGGAAGAGTAAACAAATGAAGTCATGAAATTTTATGAAAGTGAATACTGAAACAAAGTCGCTAAATTTCTTCTACGAAGGGATGTAAAGGAGATTTAAAATATGAAATGGTAAATCGGTTGGTGGTTCTATGTCTGTTATGGTAGGGTCACTTCCACCGTTTTAAGAGTTGGAGGGTTCGAAAATTAAGTCGAATTTCGAGTTATTTGAATATTAATATTTAAGGAATGTTTAAACAAATAACTGTAGTGTATCTTTGATCTTAATATCGAGATTTGGCTTCAGTTTAACGCTGAAATGAAGGAGTAATTTAAGCTTACAGTAAGTTGATGATCACCCGCACTATACCGCATAAATTTTAACAGTCTTTGAATCTCGCTAAATCTTGGATGATTGATGCCAACGCAACGTAATGGTTGGGGTTAAGATTGAAATATTTTTCCCAATCTGTGGAAGGAACGGTTAAAAATTTTAAGCATGAAGAATGGCTTATTCAACGATTCGTTAGTAACATGGAAGTGGAAAGCTTGCCATCGTTCGTGGCAACGAGAAGCTGAATCCTGGTCGTGTAGCAGGGCGGTCGTTCTTATCGACCCTTTGATAACAGTAAAGAAAAAAAGTGGCACTACTAAAAAACTAGAAGTTAGGCAGTCGGAACTTCAAGAATTTGCTGATCCTTTAGGTTTGTTTGTTCTAAAATTAATTCAAAAATTTTCAAAGGCTGTGCAGATTAGATAATGTTCATGAATATATCGTTTTGATGCCAACTGAGAAATGTTTAGATTCTAGTACGTCTTTATAGAATAATCCTTAATTTTATACTGGATTTTACACCGAATTCTAGAGCTCTTGCAGCATCATCCCTGATAGTATTAATGTCTTGATTACAGGTGCTATCGTCGAAGATCAGAAAAATACAGTTTTTACATCAGAAGATTTAATCATTTCAAAACGGAAAATGGAACCGAAACTTGCTAACACTTTGGTTAGCAAAGAAGATGAAATAGTTACGACCACTGAAAAAGTATTTTTCAACATTCAGTTGATTTTCAAAATAAATACTGAAAGAATGTTTTTGCCATAGAATAATTATAATGCATGCTAATTAGCGACTTTATTTGTTTTTGCATTTCTCTGCTTTTAGGAACTACCGGGTTTTATACCTTGGTCATCGAAAAAGCAAGCTATATTGAAATCTTTTTCGGATACTGAAGACTCAAAGATTTCATACTTACACTGTGTTCCGGATTTGAGAAAAACTGATTTGTCATTTGTTAGACGTGCGGCGCAAAGGTTTTTTTCCATTATTTATATAGAAAACTTTGTTATTTTCTCTTTTTTCCCTCTCCACTTTAAAACAAATTGATAATCATTATAAGTTTCTTACAATAAGCGAAGTTCATTGGTGAACGGTTCTTCTCTTTCACAAAAAAAAATGAAAAGAAATTGAGTGAATTTTATTTTTTGAGCACAACTTTCTGTTAGATGCTTTTTATTTCGTCACAAATGTGCAAAAAAATATTTCATATTTTTTTTTATCTAAAATAACACGTCATAATTTGTTGGCAAGTGAAATCAGCTTTATCGGAATTTATCATTCTTTATAAAAAATGATATTGTCCCAGTCGCTTCCCAATTTACTATTGATGTACTCAACTAGACTGAAATAATGGAAAATGACATAAAATTTCATCAAAAATCTTTAAATGACAATGATAGTAAATTTAATCAAAATATTCAAAATGACTTAAATATTCTGTCAATAGGGAATTTGAGGTTGGAACAGTTGGAGGATGCTTCAGGCCGGAAAAAATTAGCGGAACAATCACAGGAAGAAAATCTGGTGAAGATCAACGAATTGCGGAAAAATTTGGAAATAGCTTGGGCCAAGCAGAAGAAAATAGAATCTGTTAATGTCCGTTTTATTTATTTCGTTTCATTCTCCCTTTTTAATTGCACTGTTCTCCATATACTTTAATCTTCGAGCATCATCGTGTCGCAGAAAGGATTAGCATTCTGCTTTTTGCAGTTAGCAGTAGAAGTCGCAAATATTCTTGGATTAGTATCAGCAACTGATATTTATCCACGTCAATTCGTCCTTGTAACAGATGTTTTGGACGAGTTCGGACATCTGGTTTATGATCGTCTGTATACCAAAGCAAATAAGGAACGTGCCGAAGCGGGTTTAGAACAACTGCCAGACAATTTTACAGTGGATGACGTACCGAAACAAACGCGGGATGTTGCAAGAAATTGGTTCCATAAAATTGGTGATATCACTGAGTTCTTGTCACGTTTCTATGGTTAGCTATTATCAACTTGTCGAATATTGAAGTCAGAGTAGAATGTAACAGACATATTGATTAAATCCATTTTCTAGATTTAAATTTTACAAAATTTCAGGTGTCCTAACATTTTTTTCAGCACGTTTGATGTCTTGGCATACAGTTTCCTTTTTTTATTTATTCCTTTCATCGACTACTAATTATGGAAAAAACCTGTTGCAGTGGAAACTGCTCTCATTGGTTGTATCCGTTTTCTCGATGCGGAATCATTATCGGTGAATTTGTTACGCTTAGCAAGAATTCCGGTGTCACTACCGAATCCGCTGGTATCATGTTATGCTCGTGCTTATCTATGTCGTGTTGCCATGCGGCTTTCTCCCAATGATCGCGCACCGCATTGGCGATGTTTAAATGACTGGATCAATACAATCCCGACTCAATCGGTTTTGCTTTTTTGATTTGAGTCTGCGTGTAATATTGCCGGGAACTTTGTCGTTTTCTCAATCTTTAGAACGCTTTAAAATGGGTATCATTGACCAGACTTTTAAATTGATTAGTATTATTAAAATAAAGAGAAAGTAGATAAATAGAAAAATGGAACAAAGCACAAAAACATGATAGAAAGGATGGAGGCTTGCGACACAAAAGAAAATGTTAATGATAATTAATTTGCATCGCACAAGTGTTTTAGAATTTCTTTTTTTTTAAAGAATTTTTTTGAGAATATTTCAAAATTTAGCAAATATTTTGTACTATGTTTTGCCTTCTTACTGTTTGTGTCCAATACCTAAAATAAGGCTTAGGTGTTCTGTGCGTTTTGATTTCATTCCTCTTACCTAACTTTGTAATAAGTGATAATGTGAAATGAGTACGGAAGAGCCAAATGATTAAATTGTACCTAACAAATAACTAAGCAAGCAGCTGAATGTGCAATAATTAATAAGTAGTCATGAATGTTACACAGTGAACTTTCGTTTAATTGTTAAGTCTACTTTTTTCGTCTTTTTTTGATACTTGTAAATAAGAACCAATTATAAGATCGTGATTTTTCTTATTCGTAATAAATTATTTAATTTTAATTATATAATCTTAAGAAGCACGCGTTGATATTCACGATATTATACATTTTAGATGCCAGCAGCATTAATGCCAGCTTTAGAATGGATCATTCAATGTGTTGCGTATAATGCGACGGCATACGACGAATTACAAACTCTGTGGGATCTTTGCGCAGATAATGAAAGGCGATCCACATTTTTGCTTCCTTTCTTGCATGCAGTATCTTCTGATTATTTGTCTCAGCATGCTTTGGATGCTTGTAAATTGGTTGGTGAGCTCAGCAGTTAATATTTTAACTTTTAATTGTGAAGGTTTAGTTATCTGTACCAAAATTGACAGTGATAACATTTGGTTTATCTGAAAGTTACTAGAAATTGTCAAGTTTTTTAAGCAGGAATTGATTTGTTAATTTTCCACCTTTTTGTCTTTCTTTTCCATCCTTTTCTAATCTGATCTTAGCTTGATCTCAGAAGTACATTGCAATTCTTGATTTTTTTTCCAAGAGAGAAGAGTGAATGATAGAAAATGTCAAGTGCTTTTGGATGGAATTATTTTTAATATGTTTTTAAAGATGTCACTATTGAATGTTCGAAAATATTTCTCACAACTTTTTTATAATTTCCAATTCTTTTTTGTCAATCAGTGCTCGTCCAAAACCATTACTAAATTGATTGAACTGGAACAAATGGCTTGATAATTGCTTTATCAACTCAAAAGTTATGTCGAAGATTTAAAGATGGCAAACTCTCTATGTTTTGGAATACTGTTGCAGTCAAAACTTTTGTTGTTGGGATACAGCCAATTTATAGAGACAGTCGTTTATTCTTTTTCAGATTCTATAATTTCAGGTAGTTGCTGGTGAGAATGTAAGTTGTATGGAGCTTTGTGTTCTTGGTAGAAGACTGATGGCGAATAATATTAAAAATGATTTAAATCGAATCATTTTGAAGAATTGCTGGCAAAAAATTATGTATGTTTTCAATGGCGTTACCATTTTTAAATGCAACTTCATTCAATTCAAAAAAAATTATTAAAAAAGCTTTGGGAAGTTGAATTCTTGTTTTCTATTTTTTTTGAAAATAAGCACGTTTTTTGAGAAGTATACCTCTATTTAATATCATTTAGCCATCTAATAAGGATCCGAGATTTCATTGAATGTGCGGTTGTGTGGATTGAATTTGCTGCTCGTTATTTTACTTCGAATGAGGTTGATGTTATGCTGGAAATAATTATAAAACGAATTACACCTGATAAGGTTTGTTCTTGACCATTATTCTATATGAGCTAATATTTGATCATAGTTATCCAGTTCATTTCATTCTGGGTTCATTTCGTGGCTTAGCTTAAGTACAAAATCGGAATTTCGATTCATCCGATTCTATCATATCGTTTTTTCTTTGGTACATATGCTTAACGAATAGTCAAATTGAAAAGCTCGAAAGAAAAATGAAAATTTTTGTAGAAATATGAAGCTTTCATGGATGAACTGTTATGTATTTTGGAAAAAATTACACATTTAATTGATGAGATGAAGGATTTAATTGTATTACACAATTTTCAAACGCTCCTGCATTTATTCCGTGGTGCGCAACAGCGTGGAGACTGTGCTATTACGGTGTTATCTGCTTTCATACGCTCCTATGAGCTTTCATCAGCTAATGATTTCCAACTCGCAAGTCAAGTCAGTTATTATTAAAGTAATTACATATTATAAAGGAATGGAAATTTATATGGCAATAAAAAAGGCAAAAATTAACGGCGCATTGCAAAAGCAATAAAAAAATTAGGTAAAAATTACTACATCCTTTCTGTACCCTCAAATTTTTTATATTCATATATTTAAATTTAATTTTTCTCGAAGAATTGAGCACTTTTGTTGTTTGATGCCTTTCAAGTTTCGATTTCGAATTCGATGGAACTAAAGTCGCTCAAAAATTCCAACTTGTTGTTTATTTCTTCAAGAATGTATGAATGCTGGAGTGTTTTAGATACTTGATATTTGCCAGATGCTTCATGATTCTTTAACTGCCCTTTCAATTGACGAGGAGAAAGAGCATGCTGCGTTTTATATTATCCGCGCTTTGGATCGATTCAAGCTAGAAACAGATCCGGAACGGGCACTTGATTTCTTTGTCGATGCACGTGCTGCTTTTTCGAATTTGGATAAAGTCATTGCCGTATGTTTATCGAATTTTTGTACAATAAGACCTAGAAATTCATAATGATTTTCTACTAGTATAAAGTTCTTCAGAAATTTTTGCTTCCTTATTGGAAGTTGAATACCTTTGATGTAAATTCAATTTATTGACCTTAAATATAATTTTTGATTTTAGATATGACTATAATCATTTCAGAGTCAAAATTTAAATTATCCTTCCTTTATTTTTTTTATCAATCGGTTTGGATAATTGAATAAATTTCAGTATCTTGCCACAAAAGTATGCTGTCTTGGCTTGTATGTAGTTCGTCAAGGAAGGATTTCTCATGCGGGTGAAACATTTCTACGGGCTTGTATAGCATATGCCTTCATTACAGTAGCATCATTATCTAGTTCAGCAACCAAAATTGAGTTATACATCCAGATTGGAATGTTAAGTTTGGCTAGCAATTCACTTCCACAGGTTAGTTTTTTTTTTCCAACGGAAACTTGGAATATCACTTATTTCTTACGGAAATTGCTAGAAGTAATAGATGTCGTTTCTATAGAATTACTAAGATTTAAATAGTTTTAATATAATGTTTGTAAAATTTGATGCTTATTAAAATTTCTTGTGACAATATTTTTTGTTCATATAATATTGTTGAAGTTTAATTTTAAATGAGTGTTGCTTCTTCTTTATTTCGAGAATGTTAATTGTTGAGCTTTCGCAGACAGATGCGATCTTGAAGTGTTCGATCGAAGTGCTGGCAGCAGCTCATGACCTCAAGGTGTCAATTTATCGATCCATCTGTTCCTCGTTTCTTGCGTTTTTGGTATTAGTTCCTGACCCTCCAAACAAGAATCCTTTATACATGTTTAATGGATTTTTGAACGCTATTGCCAGGTGTGATTCCAATTCTCATTCCAAAATAATCCAAAATTATTGCGAAGAATGCGCTGATGGACTTTTTTTTCGCAACTTATAAGACTTTTATAAGAGTTTATTATTAAATTTTGAGACCCTCATATTCTGAACTTTTTTTTTTAATTTTAAAATCCTCAGGTACCCTTGGGGAAACCAATTCTTGGAACACGGACGCGTTCTATTAGAATGTATTTGTTATCTCTCAATAATGAATCAGTCGGAATTACCATATCATATAGTATATGGTGGTGTGCAATCGAATGACACTTTATATGGTGGCACTGAAGAATTCATGGAATTAATCGAAGAGAAATGCGAAGTGGTGATGGGTCGTCTGGAAGACATTTACAAACAGGGTGGAAATAAACTACCACTGTTAGCTATTGAAATCTTAGAAGTGATCCTCAGTTTGGGAGATGTTGAAGCGGTATGTATTGGCATCTGTTAAATTCTCAAATTATAGAACTTTTTCAACTGTTTTGGAATAATCGAGGTTGGTTTTAGTTGGCTACTTTGATCATCGAGCTTTATGGTGATTCTACTGCAGCATCGGAATTGTGGAAGCGACGAGAATTGATTTTGCGGAAAATTCAGCACTGTGCAAGAAAAAACAAAGAATTGGAAAGATTATATGAACAGTTATATACTTTAGAATATTCTGCTTATAATAAAAAGTGATAAAACGGTTCAATAATATTTTCATCATTGTTTGTTGCAAGTACAAAAGTATAATGGTGGATTAGAAAATTTGACGATTTCGGGTTAATTTGCTGTCATTCTATACACTGCAAAATGCACAGCCCATTACACGATTGAACAAATGTACTGATTATGTTATGCTCTTTCTTGCATATTGTAATATTAAAATTAGACTTTATAAAAATTGTTTTCTTTTAGAATTAATAAAGAAATTACTGCAGTTAGCATTTACGTTGCATCAATGTGTAATTTCAATGCGTAATCATTGTATACTGTTCTTCGAGAGCATCAGGAATGGCTTCATGAGGTGCTCTATCAGGCACATAAGTGCCAAAAAGTATGGTGCATATGAACTGATTGTACATGGAATTTATTGGAAGTGTTATGTGATCGTTCGCTATTGCATAATTACTTCGATCTGTAATAAAATGTTCATTAATTGTATGGAAACTGCGGTTTATATGGATTATTGAGATCGATTAAATGATCAAACAGAATTCCACATCCCATCATTCATAATTTTTGTTCTCACTTGGAATGGCTGGGATTATCATTTGTTATTCGAGAATTGAACAACATTGAGCTCATGTATTGTTTTCTTTGCGACAGAATTTTAATTCTTAAAAATTGTTTCAATTATTGTTTGCTTCCTTCATCTTCCAGGACTTGTGAGGGATAAGAGATAAAAAAAGTTATTTATTTTGAAATAACAAGCGAAAATTTTATAGCAGGATAGATGTTTAGTGTACTGATGAAATGGTACAAATATTTATGGTTTGTAGTTAACGGAAAGTTCAGAAATAACTGAGATGCTGTTAAGGAAAGACTAAAAATATCACTGTCAAATAAATCAATTTCTCATCACTCTCTTTTCCTCTCCAGTTTTTCAAAGCAAACTTCATGAATTATAACAAGAAATTTTTGATTGATTAGATGATTTGTGAGCCATAATAAGATGAACTAATGAATGCATTAGTGGTTTGGGGAAATTCACACTTTAAATTTCCTCTTAGATTAAATTTTAAAAATTCAGAATGATTAGTTTTGTGTTTTATGTTGTTCTCCATTGTCTTATAGTTTCTTAAGTTTTCTAATAACCATCAAATATCCAAAAGCAATCGTCGTGAATTTTGAAAGTTTAAAATCCATGAAAAGTGCAAGTTGTTCAAATGAAATAGATTACAACAAAGTAATAATCTATCTCATATTAAACGATATGTTTATGTATGTTTGATAAATATTATATTTATTTGTTATTACTGTTAAGTATACTTACAACAGCCTTTTCCTAATAATCCTTGTAAATTTGTAAATGTAAAGCCAACAGCGACAATTGTTGAAAATAAATAAATGAAATCAAATTGCTGATAGAAAAGACCGTATGCAATGCATAACAATGTTGCTGAACATATCGGATAAAACAAGAATTTTCGACGATTTTGGCCAACTTTTGGACAAATAAACTGCAAAAACAAAAAAAAAGATACTCAGTGTAAAATTTATAACTAAAAAATATGAATTTTAAATTTTGATAAAATTAGAGTTCATATATTTTCAGAATTATTTCAAATTCATCAAATTTATTTGATTCAACACAGGAAGATGCTCAAAGATTTGAAATTCTTTTTCCTGAAAATTAAACAGAAATTGTCAAATTTTATCAAAAAAAATTGTTTAAAAAAGCAAAAACATCATTGTGAATATTATATATACCTCAACAATAAATGCTATTACAGCTTGTGAATAATATGGTGGTGGAGGTAGGATAGGTTGTTGCCATTTCAAATATAAATGATGTGTACCTGCTCCTATTATAAATGATAATATGAGGGCACAAAATCTTCGTTCTGATAAACCAAATGTTTGCTAAAATTTAATAATTTTGTAACTTTATTAGAGTAATTGTTTTAAATTGAAATTTGAATTTAGACTGAATTTAATTTGAAATCAAGATTTAGTTCTATTTTTATGTCCAAATTTACCATTGATGTTTTCTGATGTAAAAGAAATGTCAATTTTGGCAATAAAATATGCAAAAAAATGAATGATAGCATGCTGCTTGTTGCCATCCTTGACAGTATGACATGACCAATGTAAGTACTCGCAAAATCTTCACCGTAACATTTTGCATTGATAATAATGTAATCCCAAAAATGGTTACTGAACAATTCCTTGCACTTTTAAATTTAAATCAATGGGAGAAATTTAATTTTCATTGAATTTTAAATTTTATAATTGAAATTTAAACTCTCTTTTAGATTATATAAACAGATTTTCAATTATAGAAAATTTGATATTATGAGAATTTTTATTTTTTATTAATAGCTTCCTTGTTTAATGAAGCGAATGCTTCTGGAATTTATGTATATATATACGTTGAGATAAGAGATAAAAAATGATAATATTTTAGGCTTATCATTTCTGTCATCAATTGTTATTGTAAATAGTTTGAAGAAATTCAAATTCGAAATCTTAATTTTATAAGTCAACTGGCAAAAACTTACACCATTAAAAAAGAATAATCAAAATCATCTGGTACTGGTCCCATATCGAAGAAATGTTTAAATTCTTGAACCAATGATTCGGCAACATTCTTAGGAAGTTGGGTAATTTTTGTAATCGATGATTGAACCAATGTCTTACTCAACTGATAAGTTATCAGTCCAGCATCATGGATAATATCTTTGAAATCATTCAGATATATTTGTACAACTTTTAATGCCCACTTACTTTGTAGCAATTCTTTCTCGCTATTGCACATTTTTGCCTTAATTTTAAATTATCTTTTCTCTGACAAGATATGTCATCTCTTAGGCTAATGAAGAATTAATTATTACGGGATGACTTCACAAATGACTTACTTATGCATATAAAATTTATCAAACCCAAATTAACAAAACTTCATTTAATACAGCCAAACACCTTCTTTAATCAAACTTGCAAGCATTTATGCTATTACATGAAGCTTATATAATGATTTAAAGTTTAGTAGTCAAATTTTTTTGAAAAACATTTGGAAGGAACAATTAATATGCAAAATTTGTCAGATAGAAATTATTTAAATGCTTACAAATTTGTTAAATGTTTTATTCATTATAAATTAGAATCTATAAATTGCTGCGAAAGTTTTGCCTTTAATACTCTGCTAATTTCGATTGAAAAAAAAGTAGAAAGGGAAATGTCAAAGGAAAACAGAAAGCGTAAATCATCACGGAAAATGATTACGTCATCATGTGGAAACTTGGATATTTCCAGATTGAAGGTATCGACGAATTCTGAAAAAGAGAGAAATGATCAAATGTTCGATCAAGACTTGGATGATATTATTCGAATGAGTCGGGAAAGTTTAATCGATTCATTCAAGGCAATGGAAGCTGTTATTCAACAGTTTGTTTTTTGTTACTTCTTTTTAAGCAATTCAGCGCTTAATAAATTTTACCAATCAATCAATTATAGATTTCGGACACTCATTAATTAATATATATTTTGATTACTGCAAATACTGAGATGGATAGCAAGTTTATTCCATGACATTTATTTTATAACACTATAACACTTTTTTATCGCATTAATTTGAATGGGAAAAAATATTTAAAATAATAAATTATTTCATTTTACAATTCAATAAAATGTTATATGCATTTACAAGATATTGGAAAATTTTAATGCCACCATATTGGCATGTAAGAAAGTTCACGTTACTTTAAAGGAATTGGTGGCGGTGACGTATAAAAAATTACCGATATGAGAAAAATTAGGGAGAAATTAGAACTTGTTAAATTAAACTAAATAAGTTAGCCTCAAAATTTTGTAGATTTTTATCAACTTAAAATTAATTTTCAATGTCATTTTTTTGGATTTTTCAGTGAATATAGCACTGAAATTGTCGAAGGAGTTTACATGCTTATGGATGAAATTGTCATTTTCTTCATTAATCTTCGCATTAGCTTATGGCCTATGCTTAAAAAATATCCAATAACATTATATCAAAGTCAAATTGAAAAATTAAAAAAATGTCTTCGATTTACGCCTATTTCAAATTCTTTCAATTTCACTTCTTGCACGGTGTTAGTCTTTTGATCTTATTTTAAAAGTTTAACAAATAAGTAAACAGTTCTTAATATGAAAACTTCACACCTTTCATTAATGGCTTCTCCTCTACAAAAACTCCTGCGCTCATTAATAAGAATTACTTGGTGATACCTTGCAGAATATATTCCTTAATGAATCGAAATGAATTTATGATTTTACTACTACCAACTTGTGCACACTGTAAGTCGAAATCTGACCCACAAAATCATTAAAAAAAGAAAAACCAAAACACTGAATAAAAGATGAATGTAGGAAGTTAATAAAAATTTATATAAATCATGAATTTGAAATTCTAAATGATAAAATTAAGTGCTTTTCAGAAGTCAATTTTGGGCAATTTTAATTGTAGCAGCAAAATGTTACGGTGAAATATTTGCAAATATGCCGATTGGTTATTTTTTGCTATCGTTATTGTTTGATAAAAAAATTCCATCTTTATTTTTCATTTATGTTGTAATGCCGCTGTTCGCATATTTATTGAATCAAAAAACTCCAATGGTGAATTGATATTCCTTTAAAATATTATTTATTAGATTAATTAACGTGACCAATTAATTAGTTAATTATTTGTTTCTATAATTAGTGCTCATCAATCATTTTTTCATTTTATTGTCAAATTGTGTCATTTAAAAGAGCATCAGTTACTTATCAAAATGATTGCATGATTTTATGAGAATTTAATGCAATTTAGGAAATTTAATGTATTTCAGAAATTTTACAAAAATTTTGTTATTTTAGAGCAAAATAAGCTTAGCAGAACGTCGTTGGCTTATTTTAGTATTTTCATTTTGGGTTGGTGCAACAACGCATTTCATTCTGATTAATTGGGATCTCGGCGTATTTCCACCACCGCCACTGTATTCACCAACACTTGTAGCATTGCTTTTTGAGGTACTTTGAAGAGATGCTAAGAATTTTGACGTAAACTGTAATAATGTGACCAATCATTGGACCTGTATTTTAATGCAACAGCTTTTGATAAATTAAAATAAAATAAAGTGAATAAATAAAGTAAATAAGTAAAGTAAATAAATAGGACAAATAAATAAGGTAAATAAATAAGGTAGACAAATAAGGTAGATAAATAAGGTGGATAAATAAGGTGGATAAATAAGGTGGATAAATAAGGTGGATAAATAAGGT